ATATATTTTATCAAAAAGTGAAATGATAGCAGCCAAAATGTGAGAAGATCATACATAAATAATACAGATTTTTAGGTTTTTACCTTAAATATGACCTATTCTTAGTCTGCATAGCTCCACAGTGGATTGCCTAATAAAGTAGATAGAGCTACAACAAAGTACGTGAATAGAATATAAGAGCATGCTATATTTATATATGAAACAAGAGCAGGAATCTGAAAGCTGGATGCTGCAATAACTAAAAGTAGTCTCTTATTGTCATAAGAGACGACTACAACCTGCAAACGCAGCATTCCACCCATAGATGGCGATGCAGAACATCTTTAGCTTCAAAAAGACAATCAGAAAGCATAGATGAACTATCTAAGGTTTTCCCCCATCTTTTTGAAAACCAATCATCTCTGTCTTAGTGATGATTTCAAAAGATCTAGTCGAACCTCACAGAAAGAGAACTCTCTGTGGTTTGTGATCCCCGCCCCCACCCAACAACCACAAACTCCCTTTAATTCAGCACCAAAGGTGAGGTTGTGCATCTCAATCTGGCCCGGGGCCAGTGAACGTACCTTCTAACCTGTCTGCACTGAAGGCATGGGGGGCCACAAATGTGGGTCCCATGTAGATCCTGCCAACCATGGGGTCCAGCGGAGCCATACCTTCAGAACAACGAGAACCAAGGTTCAGACAAAGCTTCATGAACATGATCAGAACTCAGTCTGACAAATATCAATGAGAACGCAGACTGACCTGCTGACCAGGAGTAACCTGGTGGATCAGGCCAAGTCTGTGCTGCTGCATCTTTGAAACTCCTCCTGACTGAAGCATGCCTTCTTGAATGCTGAGAGAAGCTCCGTCTGCTTCTGCTGAACGATTCTGATCTCACACTGGAGAAAGTACTGGAATAATCATCTTCCGTCTTCCTGAGAGACTCGTCTGTCCTGGAAACCGCCTGTGTGACCTTTGATCTGATCTTTGATCTGACCTCTGATCTGACGTCTGATCTGACCTCTGATCTGACGTCTGATCTGACCTCTGATCTGATCTTTGATCTGACTTCTGATCTGACCTCTGCTTCCTCATCATAACCTCCTCCTAGGTACTCTGAAATCTGCCTGGCGCTAGAATCAGTGTCAAAGTTGCTGTGATAGTCCACCGCCGCCTCTTCTTCCTCCTCCCATGGTGACAACTGGCGTCTACTTTGGGATCCAGGGACAGCGTCTGCCATTTTGTTTTGATTCTGCATTGGCACCAAGACCAAATCAGTAAAATGAGTCTTTTGGTAATCTAATGAGCTCTGGAACAAAAAGTTAACATGGGTTAATATCGAAGCTTTTTTTTTTTTTTGATTAAGTTGACATCATTACACTGATTTTCCATCACGTTTTGTTCCCACCTGTCTTTCTGGCGTTTCACAGGGAATCAGCTCATCGAGAGTCATCACATTGACCCTGATCTCTGCAGAAAAGCAACAGAAAATAGTTTTCTCTTAATAAATGAGGCCTCAGATGTTGACGTATGCTGATGTCTCAGATGGATGTAGCATCTTTGCAGTTTTAGCAGCTCTGTTTTGAGAACTTAGTGTCTTGAAAAAGTATTCGCACCCCTTAAACCTTTCACATTTTGTCATGTTCCAACCACCAACTTTAATGTTGGTGGTTGGAACATGACAGTGGTGCCCAAAGTCGGTCTTCGAGGGCCGGCATCCTGCATGTTTTAGTTCTCTCTCTGGTGGTAGTAACAACCATTTCAGCATGTCAATGTTCTTCTTAGGCCTTCTAATGAGCCATCATTTGATCCAGGTGCATTAAACCAGGGAGAGAACTACAGCATGGAGGATACCGGCCCTCAGGACTGAATTTGGGCACCACTGCTTTAGAGGGATGTTGTGTGATTGAAATGCACGTTGTGGGATCTGAATTCAGATTGGGAAAATGGAGGCGCTTGGATCAGATACCATAAATCCACATTTTACTTTCTCTTCTCTGTTTCCAATGTTCAGTGTAGTCTTTAAGAACACGTGATACTTGGAATAGTTGTGGAAAAATTAAGACACTCAATTAAATGTTGAGTTCTTTATGAATAATGGCAGAAGTTTTATCCTTTTTGGTTGAAGTAACTTTAGTGAGATGCTTTCTGAGACTGATCTGAGGAAAGTTCAACCACAGTACTGGTATCACCACCATGTTCTTCAGCTGAACAGAAACAAAACTGAAGTTATTATCTTTGGACCTAAAGATGAACGATGCACACAGCTTCAGCTATAACAGCTGGAAACTAATAATTAGAGTGAAATCTGGGTGTAGCGATGAACTCTGACCTGAACTGTTAGAGATGCATAAGGACAGTTATAAAGTCGGCCTTCTATCACCTGAAGAACATTTCCAGAAGTAAAGAACTAATGACTCAGCAAAATCTATGAGCTTATCTTTAGTCACACTGATTACTGCAACAGTGTCTTTACAGGTTGGCCTAAAAAAATCAATCCTCCAGCTGCAGCTGATCCAGAACACTGCTGCTGGAGTCCTGACTAAAACCAGCAGGATAGAGCACATCACCTAGTTCTACAGTTCCTAAAGCTCAGAGAATGGACTTTAAAAACATTTTATTTTATAAATTACTGAACAGCTTAGCACCACAATACATTAAGTATGTATTTTGGTCTGGTTTGCTCTGCATTCCCAGAACCAGAACCAAACATGGAGAAGCAGCATTCAGCATCTATAGTCCACAAATCTGGAACAAACTTCCAGAAAACTGCAAAACAGCCAAAACACTGAGTTCCTTCAAATCAAAGCTGAAAACTCACCTGTTTAGGATAACTGCAACATCATAACATCTGTTTTTCAACTTGTGTCTTATTTGTCATTTTTATCATGAACTGCCTTATTGCTGATATGTGCTGCACTAAGAAACTTGCCTTACCTTCTTGAAGATTTCACTTTTTATTGTTTGTTTTTGTATAACTTAAATTCCTCAGCATTGTCAAACTGATTAAATAATCCTATTTATCACAAATAGTATTATGGTCAACAATTGTTGCATCCTAAACAATCCTTTGCAAAAATAAAATTGGACACACTTTCACTGTGAAAACATTATAATCATGAAATTCTGTATAGACTTAATTCAGCCCCCCTTTACTCTGATACTCCTAAATAAAATCCAGTCCAATCACTTGAGCTCAGAAGTCGAAATAATTAATAGGGTTTGTTTAATCTTAAGAACAAATCCAGCTGTTCTAGAAGAACAAAACTTCTCCAAAACACTAATAATCCACCAGGCACAGTGTGTTGGTTCAAGAGAGGAAAAATGGACGTACCTCCTGGGTCTCCTGGGATGCATGAGAGGAAGAGGGACAAGAATAATGTTAAAGCCTACTGATGTCTGACCTTCTCTGCTTTCAGTCAAACTAAGGGGTAAAGCTGCTCTCCTCCCCTGATGGGCCCCTCTCACCTTCTGAAGAAGCTGAACTAATGTGACTGTGTGGATGCTCAGATCCCAGCCCCACAGGGAACAGCTCCTCCAGAGAAAGCACTTCAGCATGGCTTGACGCGGATGAGTGGCAGCGCCGCGGACCCTCTGCCTTCTGAGTGGAGCCCTGCCTCTCTGGGGTGGTGGAGGGGCGGTGGGGGGAAGGGGGTGATGGAGACAGCGCCGAAGGACTGAACTGGGCCCGGGCCTGGCCGGTGAATCGGAACGGAGAGCTGTGACAGGAAGGAGAGGGCGGTGAAGGGTGGGCAGCAGCCTGCCTTTCATCCTCCTCACTGGGACTGCTGAGTGTCTGCATGAGAGGGAAGAACAGCCAGGCTTTTAAATCTGCTCAGGTTTTCAGAGCAGTACAGCTTCACCAAAATCCCCTGATGGATTCAGTGAAACAACCCAGGTAAAAAAAAAAAAAGGTTAACACTATTTGAAGGGGTGTGCATAAGACTGACATGACACTGTCATAAACATGACATAACACCTGTCATAAAACTAAAAGGAAGTCTTTATGAATGTTTATGACAGTTGTCATGAAGTGTCATTCAGTAAATAATGACTCTGTTAATACAAATTTGCTGTAAAAGTTGCATTAAAAGTCCATTAAAAGTGCCAACTTTGCATGATTTTGTAAATTATGATAATTTAATGCAAAGTTTGCATTTTTAATGGACTTTCAATGCAACCTTTGGAGCAACTTTGCATTAAAAGTGTCATTATTTACCGAATGACACTTCATGACAACACTGACCTGTGCAGTCACATATTTAAAGTGCAATTTCTTGTTTGACCATAAACACATAAAGACAGATGTTTTTCCAAAGAGATTAAATTAGACAAAGTGAAAGCAAACCTACCCTGTCTGGTCTTTTCACAGATGAAGATCTCCCGGGTCCGGACATGCTGATCGATTCTACTGAGTCTCCAAGCAGTTTCCTCATGTCTTCTTCATCACTTCCCAGACTCACACCGCTCATTGGTCTCCTTGGCTTCCTCTCCAACCCCCCAGAAAGTTCAACAGCATCCCCGGCTCTTGATCTGAACCCGACGCCAGCAGCAGCATGTCTTGTTGCCTCGGGGGGAGCAGAGCTGCTGCGGTTTTTCTTTTTGAGGAAACGGTTCTCCCTCTGGCTCTGGTCAGTGTCGAACTGCGCTGACAGTGCCGCAGAGGCCTCCTTGATCTGGACGGCTGCTTCTGGTGCCATTTCCACATCTGAGGCTGGACTGAGGACAGCTGCTGAAGCCTTCTTAGCCTGTTCTAGCTCCTGCTTGCGGCTCCGGACACGACTCTCGATTTCAGCTAGCCTACGCAAGGCTGGAGCCTGAGAGCCACCCTGGGAGGATGACACACATCTGACCAAAGAAACCCCAAAATAGATCAATTGACAATCTAGTTAGACCTTTTATAGACCTTTTATAGGAACAGGAGTTCACCTTGGTTGTACCACAGCCTGTGCTCGGTTCCTGCTGACTGGCGAGTGGCTGCTGTTAGCTGGTTTTGGAGCCTTCTTTAGGAACCTGCTCCCTTCTGCCAGTGACTTCTGAGGTCTGAGATCCTAAAGCAAAGGAATCAGACCAAAGATTAGGACTCGGTTAAATGGTAAATAGACTGAAAGACCCTCTTTCATAGATCCTTCACCTTGCTCAACAGTGAGCGTGATCCATTGTTCATGCTAAACTCACATGGAGAGTTTATGCCCTAAAACTTAATTACATCTGTCCAAAGCAAACTGTACATGATTATGTTTGTAATAGTAAGACAAAAAAAATCTTAATTCTTGTATAAATCAATCAATCAAAAAAAAAAAAGAAAAGAAAAAAAAAACACTTAGTACTCAGATAGAACATAATGGTTGTTATGGATACCTGGTGACCAGGAGAGGGCCTGCTTTACAGCTGGTCCCCAACACACTACTGTTTTTCTTCTAGATTGTAAAAGGTAAACTTGAACACCTCTTCACAAGGGGAACCAAAAATGTCTCTTTATATTTCCCATGACATTCAACTGTATTTAATGATGACATTACTATAACTCACCTGGGTTGAATCTCCCTTTATCTCAAGGTTCTCTTGTGTATTAGCAAGTCTGGCAGATTCAGCAGTCTGTTTAGAAGCAGAGGTGTCTGAGGAGAGGTCACTGAGGTCAGAGAACAAGTTGTGGCTATTTGGAGGAACAGGTCCAGCTCTGAAGGAGGCTCCCTAGACACAAGGAGAAATGCAACAAATTCATTTGTGTTCTAATCTCTGTCAAAAAGCAGTTTAACAGCAGAGGGGTAGAATTAAATATTTACATTTTGTTTCATGTTTACTGTCATAAATAAAATATTAACATTTTACAATTAGCATGACCAGTTAGATCAGAGGAGTATACATGTCACTAACAGTATGTGGAAAGAAATCGACAAGATGACCTTCAATTAATAGCACTAGCTTCCAGTTTCTGCAAATTTAAACAAGTTCAATCAGTTGAAAATGGTGCTAACAATAGTAGAGTTCAACAAGAACTCTGACTGTCCTAGTTTTATTATTTTCCATGTCATAAAAACTCACATTGACTCGTTGGCATATTTAGACACTTCTTTTTCTTTTTTTATTTCATAAAAGTGAACAGTGACATTTTTTTTGTTATTGGTGACAGCATGTCACCAAAGTCTTCAATTTGTAGGAATTAATTCCTACAAAGTGTACAGTGGTTTATTTTGTTTGCTCTTAAAAGTAAATTGAAACACCTCAACCTCAATGTAATGATGATTCTTACATCAATCATTTCACTGATGTGAGGATCTGATCCCACTAATCGTTCTAGTTTCAGCTCCTGCTGATACCTTACACACAGAACAATCTACATAGAAATCCAAGACCTTGAGATGCAAGAGTTATTTATTTATTTATTTTTTCGTGTGGTATTGCTTGTTAAGTTCCTAGATATCTCTAAAGTGAAGTAGCCATGATGATATTCATGTAGAAGAAAAAATGTTCATGGATTATGCAAAGGACATGTTTACAAATAATCATTAGTATGACTGCATAATTCACTATCCACATCTTTCTAATATGAACATCTATATTCTTTTCGAAGCGCCATGATTTCGATGAAAACACATTTTCAAAACGTCCCGGACTGTGAGTGCACACCTGTGTTTTGGTGGTTGAGTCGTGTGTGGAGCCTCCTCCGTCTCTTGTGCTGCTCCTCTTGCCTGACAGCAGCGCCTCTGCCCGGTTCAGAGCCGAACTCCGACCGCTTACTTTCCACATATTTCAGCTGGTTCTCATGAGCTGTCCGAACCCTTTCTGGCCGTTACGTCGTCAGTCGTTGTTTCCCCTTACATGTTCCTCTTCTTTGGTTTTTACCACACAGGAGAAACATTCTTAGATAGTTTGCAGCTAAACCGGTAGTAGCTAATTTTAGCTGCATATTGCGCTTTCTTTGGATTCATTCGGAAATCTCTTAACCATCATCTTTCATCTTGTTTTAATGATTCGCTCACTCATACCAGCAGACTGGCATCCCTTGTTTCCATGGAAGAGCTTCTGTTCTTCTTCTTGATATCGAACGTAGGACGAAATCAGATTAGTAGCGCCACCTACAGTTTGAACGTGTTAGTGCATGAATCAGTCAGTCTTTCATGCGTCTCCTTTTAGGATGTTTTTTTTTTCTATTAAGAGTTTTAATTCGTCTTGAGACATTGGAAAAACATTCTTTAAAACATTTAAGAGTTTTTTTTTAGACTCCCCAGGGGACACTGTAATGGAAGCTCATTTCTGCAATGAAAGAAGAAATAAAACCCCAACAGAAAATCATAATTTCAGCTCTTAAAGTCATGACTTTGTGATACAAAGTCATAATTTCAACCTTCAAAAGGAAAATTATGAGATTCAAAACCATATTTATGAAACGGAAAGCCATAATGTTGAGATTCAATGTTCAACATAAAATAAGGCCTTGCTTTGGATCTCATGTTCATCAAGGGAAATCCTTTCCACTTCTGCAATCTGGTAAAGATAATGTTAGCCAGGTAGAAAACCACCCCTTGTTCTACGCTTTGCTTCATACAGAGGGTCTGAACCCTCAGCTAATGAGAAACATTTGCTTGCTGGAGGCAATTCTAAGTTTTGATATAAAGAAAAATTTCACAGTTTTTACAGAGAAGACAAAATGTCTTCTTGAATGAAACCTGCATTTATGCCAAATCAAGACTAAAAACATGCAGTCGCAGCCTAATCATAAAAATGATGTTTGTATGATTACGGCCATTCTTTTGTGGAAATCATATGCAAATATATTTGCATTTTATTATTGTTTCCACAACAGAATGGTGGTAAGAAAAAGTCCTAGAATTGAGTTTTTATTTTTCTACTTACTTTTTCTTATCAGTTTAGGCCCAGGTTATCAGGACAACTGTGAAAATCTAAGTAGCAATAGACCCCTAAGTGCCTTAAAATAAGTGTACTAAGCTCACCTTGTGATCTTTCTTTTCACAAAACAATGTATTTGGGTTGGCCACGAGATTCTGCTATTGCTCTGATTATGTGTGTCCAGATCTGGGTGAGGGATAAACAAAATAATCCAATGCTTAGGGCCTGGCCAGGCTGCCAGGCCAGACGCAGGGATGGGTTGTTGAACCTCGGGAGGCTGTGGGTGGCTTAGTCTTTTTGACACACTCACAGAGTTTAACACTCAGAGTATGTAAGCTGTTAAAATTCCAGATCAGAATAATAAAAAAAAAAGATTAAAAGTCCACTATGTATTAGTCTACTTTATCTTGCTAGTTAAGTTTTTTCAGTCATTCTCATCTCTGGAGCCTCTTGGTCTCAAGAGGGGATGAAACACACATGCACACACACACACACACACGCACACACGCAAACACTCATGGCGTTCGTTTTTCCATTACATGCATGCACAACCACTGAAATAGACATGAGAAGCTTTTCTGTTTTTTCCATAATTATTTGGAAAAGTGTCTGAGGAAGTGCCTGTCCATAGTTTGCTTATGAAGGACAGGAAGAGACAAGCAGTGGCTAAAAGGATGTGGGTACTTAATGTGCTCTCAGTGAGTCAGAAATTTTGAGAGCTCAAACTCATCCAAAACCTGCACCTGTGCTCTGGGTGCTTCCAGCTCTACCTCCCACTCAGCATAATCTGCTGAGGACCGACACCAACTTCAGGAGGTCTATTAATCCAAAATGGTAAAATATAACCTGATCCGCTTCTGTATTAGACAGAATTTGGTATATCCAGTTTTCAGACTATTTTCTTCTTTACTTTTTTATGGCAAACATTTATCAATGGTTCAGAAACATTCCATAGAAATTTTGATCTATATCAACATTAAAGCATCATGCAGATTTGTAGACTTAACATTTATGATGCTAATCTTGACTTTCACCACATTTCAAAGATGTGCTGTTGATAAAGATCTGGTGATTGTGGAAGTTTAGTGTTTGAAAACCAGCTTGAGATGATTTGAGCTTTGTGACATGGTGCCTTATTCTGCAGGAAGTAGCTTTCGGAACATGGGCACACAAAAATGGTCAAATGATTTGCAACCACACTAAGGTAGGCTGATTGAAATCCAGTTCAGACTAGATTTATGAAGGACAGGAAGAGACAAGCAGTGTCTTGAGAACAAGAAAATATCCCCGTCACTATTACATCAACAAAATGTAATAGTGCTCAGTAAATGGTGGCAATGGTTTTGGAAGTCTGGATTGTTGGCTCACAAACCTTGCTTCATCTTTCTTGGGCACAGCACTTCACCTGCCTTGCATCCTGCAGGTGGTCAGAGGGCCTGGTGGAGCCGGCGCATGGCAGCTTCACTTCTGTTAGACCACCCCAAGGCAACTGTTGCTATAATGTCATGTGTGAATGTGTGTATGAACTGGTGAATGACTGAATGTAGTGTGAAGCGCTTTGGGGTCCTCTGGATTTGATAAAGTGCTATCAAATCCAAGCACAGGCTATTAACCAACTCCTGATCCCCAAAGCACACACACCTTGGGAGAAGTTGATGCTAAAATGAAAACCTGTAAAAGAGAAATAAAACTGTTAAGGCCTCGGCCATTAGTGCTGAAAAGCAGCAGGAAGAACGTAAAGTTGTGAATAAAATTAAAAGTCTGATTTCTGGAAAACAAAATAAAAAAAAGATTTCTATGTACAGCTTTAGTGGAAGAGTTTGGTTCAATAATGCGAACATCCAAGAAGGTCACTTAAGGTGCATTCACACCAGCCCACATTTGGGCCCCTTTGATAAAACTCTGCTTCTTTTGCTTAGAAAGTCAATTTTTTTTGGTTAGGTGTGAATGTGTAATCGATCTCTGATGTGGACCAAAAAAGCAAAATCTAGTCCACCTAAAAACCTGCTTTGGTTTAAGTGAAATCTGGTGAGGTTCTAATGCAGAACAGCAAGCAGACTGGAGACCACTCCAATACCAGGAAGAGGACGATAGCGCAGGGCATTCTGGGTAAATACAACCAAACAAGTAACGTGTATCTGGCGCTTCGAGAGAGAAATGTGGTCTAGAAATTCTGAAAACACTAAAATTTGAAGTCACTCCATTCATTTACATTTTGTGAAGAAGGAAGTTGCGCTCAGTGTCTTCTGCAGAGGTTCTTGTCATTTTTTTCAGTGGTTCTTGGTGCAGTGCTACCCACAGGTGAGGAGGGTAAGCAAATTGTTCAAAGGATTTGGATCATTTGACACAGTGAAAGCCAACCACACCAGGTGAAAATGTAACAAATATAATTTTGGTTCCCAACTGAACTGAGTCTACTGGACTATCAGGGGTGAAAACGCCCTTAAATGCATCGCTTAGCAATGGCTGGATGGAACTAATGAGTTGCTTTGGAATCAAAGCTCAGATGAACCCAATTTTACTGCTCAAAATTATGAAACAGATAATGAATTTCAAGTAACTGAATTCTCAAGCACTGAAGTTTGTGTCCTCAGAGAAAATGAAGGATCTGAAAGGTGATATAAGCCTGAGTGACAGTGTGTCAAACAGGGATAGAAGAAGTTTAAGAAAACCAAAGAAACAACTCAAACAGAGGAAGAGGTTGAAGCTCATGTGGACAAAGTAGATGAAATAAAATCACAAAGCTCCACAAGTGGGAAAAAAAAAATCCATTACGAAAAAAAAAAAAAACTTCAAATGTGGAGTTCAGGCTTTTTCTCCTTCTGTTGATACAAAATCATTTGTTCCATAACAATGGAACTGAGAGATATGGAAAAGGGAATGTTCTGATCCAGCGGCGAGGCCAAAAGAACATCCAGCATCTTAACAGTTACATTGTATGCCTGCAACTAATAAACATCATGTCATCAATGTACCAATATACCAAGAGAGAACACAACAAAACATGAAAATATTCAAAATATGAACCACAGCTCATAAACCTGAGGACAGCTATATCTATGTTGAAGTTGCAGCATCACCAGACAGGGACTTCTTCAGAAATATTCTGTAAGAAAGAATCAATCTTTGTACATTTTACATTTAGATATCAATTTCAAGAGCTTTGAGATAATGGGACAAACTTCATTGGATCAGAGCAACAGTTAAGAAAATCTCTCTTTCCCACCTGGAATCTTCTAGCATGTGTAAGCTCAACGGCAACAGAAACAAGTTCAGCACAGGTCTGACTTGTTCTGGAGGACATGGGTTAACGGATATTTACCTCAGTTGTTTTGGACTAAACCCAATGCTGTACCTGGTGACATGGCGCTCATCATGGATGCCCTCATAGCGCCTCGCAACTCTGGCTGAATGGGAAGAGTTTTGGAAGCTTTCTCAGACAAAAGAGGTATTTTGAACAGGTATATCAAGCAAAGAACAGCAGCCTAGACCGTTTATATCTAAACTCTGTCTGCTTCAAGGCTGAAGATGGATGAAGAAAGTGCAGGAGCATCTGCTGAATGGGACTCATGAACTTGCATTACCAAACTGACCTCTGAGTTAATCCTGACCAGACGCTGAACAAAAGAGATCATGTGGAAAAACAATTTGAGTCTTAACAAGCTCAACCTCCTAAGAATGTAACTGTCATGGTGAGTAGCAGTGATGCTATGAAACGATTAATGAAAAGCAAAGCTTTGATGCATCTGTGACATCAAGCTATAGAAAAAAAAAAAACATCCCATTGAAAAGTCCTGTTTTCTTTTTTTTAAGAGAAAGAAGCTTTTATTTAACTAGAGAATGTTCCTGATAAGGTTGTTCCACTTATTCATAAAGAATGTCACAGCACAAAAACAACTCCGAGAAGTTTTCATAGCATTCTCTGAGTCTTAAATAACATATTGTCATGAATTGAACAGTGGTTAACATTCGAGGACATTGCTCTGAATTGGATTGAATCATATCTGACAGACGTTTATTATTACAGTTTGGGAGAATGTTTTTTCCTCTGCAGCTCACCTCAGTCATTCCTCGTGTACAGGCTGATCTTGGGTCAGTCCTCAGGAAATAAATGAAGCTTTCCATTGTTATGCAGGTCATTTTTGAAACAAATAATTTGTGATGTCTTGCGAATTTCAG